AAATGTTCACCCGATTATCATTTAAATGAGATACTCAGTTTATTTTACATACTTACTAACCAACTGTTAGCCCCAAACGCAAATCCTGGACATCAAAATTAAACAGCGAATTTTGATTACTTAGTTGAGATTTAATAAAAATAAATAAATAAAGATAGGCTACTTAATTATAAAATGTTAAGAATTAAATAAAAACAGACAAAGGAAAATCAATCATTCTTAATAATTTTTATATCCGGCCAGGGGGTAAAATTCCGGGGGGTAGAAATCCGGGGTTAAAATTCCGGGGGCTAAAATTCCGGGGGTAAAAATCCGGCCTGTACATCTTCAGTTGTATAAACGTTAGTTATATGGACAGGGGCTAAAATTCCGGTTTTTATTGCTAATTGAATTAATCACACTCTATTTTCATTAGACTTCCAAATCCGCGGGGGTAAAATTCCGCCCGCGACCAAACTTTTGAGCGCTCAAGTTACTACGTCATAGTGACGTCAGCTTTGCCCAGGGGGTAAAATTCCAGGGGGATAAAATTTCGGCGACCCAAATTTACAACTGAGTCAAAAGGGCATCCGTTCAAAGATTTCTTGAATCTGTCATTTTGAATCTTTAACGGCTGCCATTTTTTACTCAGTTGTTATTTTGAGCTCAAATTTGCGGCATTGTATTCTACCTTTAATTGGATGTGCATTTTATGTTTACGTTTATGATTTTCTTCCGTATTTTAGTGAGCACCAACCTCGATTGTTTTTAGTTCAACAAGACCTTTAATTTGATGAACAGATCAACCTATGCTTACCTATAAGATTTTAAACTTACTCCTAATGGGCATTTCCCCATGCCAAAACATTGTTCCACCTTGGGCTACTAAGGTGGCATTTCCATCTCAACTGATGATTGATAATGCTAATGAAAACACCTATCACTATTTTTGTGTTTTATTCAGTCACCAATACAAAAATCCACACCACCACCACTTCTGATTAAATCGTTCATGTATCTTTGTGTTACTCTGTCATCATAGCGGCACGTTGTTCAATAGGACGCTGACATACTTGCAATGCTAATTGATCAAACTGTTCGTGTGTCATCAGTGTCAGTGTGTGTGTGTGTGTGTGTGTGTTTGTGTTTGTATACGCGTGTCTAAAGCCCTCATTTCCTATCCCGTCGTGACTAGTAGACGTGTCCCGAGGCTCCTACAGTTTGAGTCTAGTTGGTTTGTCTAACAGCCTCTGATTGTACAAACAACTTTGCATTGAATTTCAATGAGGCTTTCTAGTGTTTCTACGAGCCATGTTTGCCTAAAAACTGTCCCCCGTTGTGCTTTAAATTTAGTTGTGCTTGAATTGAATTATAAACTGAGTAATATGAAATTATTGCTGAAAACGGGTGTATCACGCTCATAAATTTTTAATAGTTAAACATATGCTAAATTATACATGTGTAAACTCTTTTAAAATGCATTAAAATATAAATTGCCATTTCTTTTAAAGATGCATGTTTAGTTCTTAGTTGTAATATTACATATTTATTTTGTAGTTAAAAATGATTTTGATGCCATAAATATCTCGTAGATTACATCAGTTAAAACTAGCAAAAAGACATTGAAATGTAATGTTGAAATGAAATGGTTTACTTGACTATTAGTTAAATTCTGGTGGTGTATTATAGTTTTAAATTCTGAAAACAATATTTGAAGTCAGAACTACCTGTAATATTCACGATATATTAAAGTTCAGTTCCTTGAAAGTTATTGCTAGTAGTGTTAATTGTTGTAATTATAACTCATATATTCGCAAATACTTTGTATTTGCTAACTCCATCAATAAAGGTCCTGAACTATTGAACAGCTGATAGTAAAACTGTGCATGTGTGTGTTTTAACCGTTTTAACTAAACGTGTTTATACATGTTAATTATTAGATGTACGATATAAAAATACAGAACACTAAGCCCTATCTTCAGTTAAATTGTATCTTGAATCAACTACATTTAGGGAGCTGAACTTCCGTCATCAGGTATAACTTAGAGGTCACTTTTCCAACGTATTTTCTCTTTATTCAAAACCCTTTCTTACAAAATAATTTTAATCAACAAAACTCATGTAAATATTTAAAATTGAAATGGACCGTGTACAAGCCAGTGTGTAAATTCCGATCAAATGATGGATATGTAAAAAAATCTATATTACCATAATATAAAATATTAAATATAAATCTTAACTTTATATATATATATATATTATATATATAAATATATATTATAAATATATATATTATATATATTATATATATTATATATATATATATAAATATATATATATTTAAATTTCATAGTTACCAGTATTACAACATACTTTTTCATCAAAACAACCTTTTGTATTGTGTAATTGGCATTTCTGTCGACACGCTTTTCGACAAAACCACCCTTTTACCTTGAGTTTGAAAACCAAACAAATGTTATCAACCATATTTGCCACTCCAAGTCACATGCAGCCTGTCGGAGGGTTGCCGCCAAACACCCCTAAACTGATTATGAACGGTTTCGCAATAGAGACTCGTCACCAACCAATGCCTAAGGGTAGCTAGATTGAGTTTTTCTTGAGAACGTAATTTAAAATCCTACAAAAACAATTATTGAGTTTATATGTCGTATCTTATAATGCTTCTGTTAACTGTTAAAATCCTATGCTAAGTTTTTATGCCAGACATAATTTAATATCCTATCTAATATTTTGCAGACATGGTCAGATATTCAAACCATTTTCAGGCAATTTAAGAATGACTTATTTAAGTTATTGTTTTAATTTTACAGTGAATCAATTTTGGTATTCTTAGCATGTAATTAATGATGTTTAAACATTTTTATAATAACCTAATAGTACAACAGTTCATCAGAGGAATAGTCAAAGATGATATGCATTTGATATAGTATCCGTTTAAATGAGTTTGCGATCCATTCCGATTCAACAAGGTTTTGCGTACTCCAAATTTCATGTAGAAAATTTTGAGAGTACAAATAACGTTTTGTTGTTATTAAATTTAACTTAGAAAGGAAAAGTAATACAAGCGCATTTTTTCGAGGAAGGAAAATAAAACCATTAGTTTTGTTTTAGTAATTTCATTCTAGTTTAGTTTTTATTATAGTTCTGTTATCTAAACTACCAAATCAATATGAAAATCAATTAAGTATATAACATTAATTTGAACAATAAGCATGTTAGTTATCTTTTACCCCATGTTATTCTAAAGAGTTATAGGAAATTAATTAAATATAAAGGCTATCCATTATAGCTGTATTAATATATGCACAGCTTTAAAATATAATACAAAAGCTGATAAACCATTCCAAAATTCCTTGTACAATACTGACTTTGAATATTGTGATAAAACATTTTTGTATCTTCTTAAACAACAAACCTAAATACTCCCCTAGTGGCCGTTATTTATGGGCTCGAACCAGGTGTGATAATTGTTCTTTTTTAATCTGTTCTAATAAGAACTCAATCCATCGACTGGCAATTCGCAGGTTTGGTGAAAAAGAGCTATTTCATAGTTTATGTGCGTGTAGGCCAGTTCGGGTGTGTTCGGGTGTGTTCGGGGGTCCTATGTCTTGTTTTGCGTCCAATGTAAATATGTAAAAAACATTGATTAGAATTTGAAATAAAACTTACAAATATGGATAGACTTATCTAAAAATAAAAATTACCGTTAGGGAGAAAGGTATATCCCTCAGGTTGAAAATTCCCTAAACAAGTCCCTAAATTCCTAATGGGTATTTTACATACATTGTAAGTGTGATGTAACTTAATTGGGAAATATCATGTTGTATAGAAGTATAAGTCCATACAGTTATTTACTTTAATTGCCTTACCTATAACCTTCTGTAAACTTGGGGCATTAAGTGACCGAATTTGTAAACCTATTTCGTGATGTTTTTAGCCAAGACTGCAAATCCGGTTGTACATTGTACCACAACCAATAATGTGGTATCATGATTACTGGATTAGACCAATGGACCATACTTATTGGTATCTACTAACTATACAGGGTGGCTGAAAATTAACTTGCACCCCCTTTAACTTTTTAACTATTTGAGATATTTGAAATCGGTTTCGGCAACTTGTTTGGATATAAAGGGCTACAATAATTATGGTCAGTTTTGCAAATTTTGCCTTTAGGGGGAGTGGGGGTTGGGGGTAGCTCAAAAATTTCAAATAGCAAGTATAGTCGAGTTTGGTATCATTTTACAGGTCTTGACGAAACATAAAAATTAACATAAATAAAATAGAAGTCGGATCATTAATAACAAAATAACATTTAAAAATGATTTAAGACAATGGTCATTAAAAGTAATTTTGAACTGCCATTTTGTTATTAATGCTCCGATTTCTATTACCTTCATGTGAATTGTTATGTTTCGCCAAGACCTGTAAAATGATACCAAACTCGACTATAATTGCTATTTGAAATTGTTGAGCTACCCCCAACCCTAACTACCCCTAAGGGCAAAATTTTCAAAACTTACCATAATTATTGTAGCCTTTTATATCCAAACAAGTTGCCGCAAACCGATTTCAAATATCTCAAATAGTTAAAAAGTTAAAGGGGGTGCAAGTTAATTTTCAGCCACCCTTAATAAATAACCCACAAATAAATAACCCTCATGGTTATTTGGATTTGAAACGTTTTAGGGCACCATTTTGTTATTAGTGGGCCGATTTTGGTTTTCTTTATGTCAATGTTTATGTTTCGTCAAGACCTATAAGATGATATCAAATTCGACTACACTTGTCATTTGAAATTTTTGAGCTACCCCCTACCCCCACTACCCCTAAGAGCAAAATTTTTAAAATTGACCATAATTATTGTAGCCTCTCATATCTAAGAAGGTTGCCGCAAACAGATTTCAAATATCTCAAATAGTTAAAAAGTTAAAGGGGGTTCAAGTTACTTTTCAGCCACCCTGTATATACTATGTGTGACTAGAAGAAGCTGTACTCACACAAGAGGCGAGAAGACAGATGAGGACCAGTGCGCGGCGAAAGAGCATCCTCCACGACCCTGCAAAACATAGTTCGTTAGTTAACTTGCACTGAAGATGTAAGACCAAATCATAGCAATAGACTCTAACTCCTTAGATGCGAATAATAGAACTCTTGCGACAAATGAATCACTACAAGTAAAACTGACATAACAGGCGGGTTAGTACCTCTAGTATTTGGTAAAATGTGCACATACATATTCTATAAGACGACCATGAGATGGAATTGCCAAGTACCAAATACGGGGGACAACAGCTGTAGTAGCCGAGTATAAGGAAGATTGGAGGGGTATCGTTAGAAAGGCCAAAACCTGCTTAGCTATCAGTGGCCACTGATAATGTAACACCAAAGGTATAAGATTTGAATATCCGTGCACTGCTGTGTAGTATACATTTAAGATCGCGCCACTCATTATACACTCATCTCCATTCTTACTTGGCTTAAAATACCTACTTTGTATGGTCGCCATTTCAAAGAAAAGTATTAAAAGTATTGAAGTATTCAAAGCAATGCCTAACCACGTTAACAAGTATTGGAAATACATTTACACGGATGATTATGTTTGCGTCAGGGGTAGATAGACGATATAAATACTACGATTACATTGTATGCCTTGCAGATAAGATGTAATATAATCTTCTAATGCAAGTAATACAGTCAGAATTGTGTAGCATCCAGTAATTAATAAAAAAACCACTTGGGTTTAGCACAGTAGACTACAGATTTAAACTTATTCTCCAATCTTTTGATAATGTCCACTTAAAAACGAATTAATTGGCTTAGAGGACAAAAATGACATTTACAACATTTACATTTTTCTGAACGCAAGGTGTTTTTGAAAAAAAAAGAAGAAAAAAAAATAGAGGACGATATAATTTTATCTAAGTTGACGTATTTGTACATTTGACTTTTTAACAAAGAATACAAGTGTGCAGTTTTCATTGTTGTAAATTTGTTACTTTGCAACAAAACCAACAACAAAACCAAACCAACTTAACCTAACCACTGAAGCACGCCGTAAGAACCCAATTAATAGATCGTGTTAACTACAGCATCATGTCATGTCACATAAACTACTGCAGTGTAAAGAGCTAAGCGAGCCTAAAGAGATTTGATAGAAGCTTGCTCCATGGTTGTTTCATTCTACTCAACTAAGCCAGGGGTGCCCATCCCCCCCTAGACTCCTGACGCACCCCCCCCCCAATTGAGCGACAGCCCCCCCCACCAAAAAAAGAGGTACACAACAAATGAGAAACATAATTCCCCCGCCCAGCACTATTTGAAAACCCAGTTATCTATATAAATAAAGTTATAGTTTTGTCTGTACATTGCTCAGAATGATACATATCTTATATATTAAAAGTGGCAGGGTTTTTTTATTTCACGATTCTGAATCAACCACTTGACGAATTTTCATGATTTTTGTGTTGAAAGAAAGATAATTTTGAGAACTAGGGAATGTCGAAGCCATAATTTTAGTTTAGGGTTTCAGTTTTTTAGTAATTTAGTTTAAAATTTTAAAAAGTCTAGCAGCCGACGCTAACATTCTACTCTAGCTTTTGACATAATATCATTTGCAACAGCTGTAAACATTCAGCGCTTTCGACACAAATTCAGCCTTTGGATGAAAATGAAATGACATACGTAGAATTGACTTATTTTTAATATGTGTAATGCTTTCAATCATTGATACGTTCATTTATTCGGTAAGAGAATGAGAGTTTATTTAAATACACATATTAAAATACTAGATGTTTTAATTTATTTTTTGAGCAGTCTTTAAAATATTTAGTTTGTTTTAGTGCAATATAATTTGTTATAACTACCAGCTGGATGGATATAAAAATATTCTATAAAACTATTAGGTTAGTTTATTTACTCTGTGATTTTGTCATTGATTATAGGAAATAAGTAAGATTCTATAACCATTGCTGTATACTAATCAAAGCTCACGAATCTTCAAAAGAAAGCTTATGAAAATTATTTTACTACTCGACATTTTTATGAAAAGTTGGGAAAATAACAATGAAAACATGTTTTAATTCATCTTGGCAGCTTTTTCTTTACTATAAATCTTGAGCTGATTAAACTATGCTTGAATTAGTAATAGACTTACTATATACAATTTTAATGGACTACTCGATTCCCGTACGTAGGACGGGCCAACAGCTCGTTTTGGGTTATTTTACGTTATCTCAATTTATGTTCGGCTGCCATGGCCCGGAAGGCATCTTACGCAGTCTACTCTAAAAAAAACTAGAGTACCGATTATGATTCTAATGGTTTAATTGTATTCACAGGATTGGCGAGAGTGTCCTTAGCCATTAAAATATGGCCTCACTATTTTGGAAATAAAATAACGGACGATCAAAAACCCAATTTGGTGTGATTTTTCTAGTTTTTCTCCATGTTTACTACATACGTCATTTATTAAATACTAATAATCTATTAAGAGAACACGTCATATATGAAATTACGAACAGCTGTTTTGATAAAGATTCCTTTTTCTAGCTGTCACTGAAATGTTTACATAAATGTTGTTTACAAATACTGTATAGGCCCTAACCATTTCTGATCACGTTTGTAAGCAAATTCAAAACCATAAGTGAGATTAATAACCGTGTGGCTTTGGCTTGCATAACGGGTTTGATTTATCACGGGTAATATGTAACTGTAAATTAAATTAAATAACTAGCTATCATCCAGGTCGGGAACCGGAGATTCTGTGTGTATCAAGTTGTATTTGAATTTTGATTACCTGGAAAAGACCGCAATTCAGTGTTGTACAGGACTGGAAAACTTATCTTTCTATATAAAAAAATTAGAGCTTTATAAGTCACCTCAATTTAAGGAATTTTTAATTGCCAGAATATCTATATAGCGTTTGTAAAATATGCTTAACGAATTGTCAGCGTCTTTCTCTTGATATAACGACCCCCTCTCCCTCCCTTTGGAAACATCACAGCTCATTTGATGAAAATGAAATGGAAACAACGCTTGCGCCAACAATCGTCTGCTCCGTTTTACACTTCTGTCTGCTGTGCGCTATGTTATAACAGATTTCAGATACAACAGCTGGGGAATGATGACGATATAATGCTTAGTGATTGAGTGATTAGTAACCATGGTAACTTTAGTAAGGTTGTGATTGGGCAATGAGTAGGCCTAAAAATATGGCGACTTGTTGAATTTGTGTATGAATTGAAGAGAAACCTAATAAAGAACAGAAGAACAAAGAAAAAGAATAACAAGATTGTTCTAGTTACATTCTTTTTTTAAAGGGTTTTTATTATCTCTAAATATAATTTTACACTTTTTTTTAACTTATCTATCAAATTCATATGCTGTGATACAGCACCTATCGGTAGCCTATCTGTCTATCAAATCAAATCAAATCAAAAGTTCTTTATTGCCGTATAAAACACAGTAACATGCATGGCTTGAGTCACATTATTCAAATACAATACAAGAAATAAAATACAACATTCACATAAGTAACAAACCTCTTTACCACCTCATGAGCAGTAGCTTATAACACTTTCTAAAGGTTCCTTTAATATTTACGTTATCTATAGCAACGCCGTGTTTGGCTAGTTATTATTGGTTGAGTTTGAGTTAGCTATAATTTTAAACGTTGCCGTTTGTACAACTGAACACTGAACCAAAATAAATGATTTTAAATGTATAATAATAATGTAATTGCACAATAAATAATGATTGTGCAATATTGAATTTCGTTTACAAAAATGCAAATCGTGACGTTAATGGCTGTTTACAGCGTTTTAATGGGTTTGTCATCTCTTTTTATACTATATTGGATCAACCGTATTTTTCATTACCCCCCTCCCTATTAACTCAGGTAATCGAGTATCTACACAATAGTGTAAAGTATTGTAGCCTATGCTACTTGTTTGTATTTTAACGAGCTTTATGTCAACAAAGCGTTCTGTGCTGAGTCGCGGTGTAGCTGGACGTGTCTGTCACACGTAATCTTTTATCTATCACAGCAGTTGAGTCATCCCGTGCGCTCCCTCTTAGATCTCACGTCTTGATAATCTTGAATAATAACTTCCTACATGAATCCTAAACTATCCTAAAATCCTATTTTAACTAATTGAATTCAATAATATAAATATTGTTATTAATTAATCTACTTTCCATCTGGAAATTTCGTAATATATTTTTGATTGTCGTCACGTTAAACACTGTTTCAATGAACTTTAGCCCCCCCCCATTTGAATTTTTGCAACCCCCCCCTAAAATTTCAATGACGCAGTCTGCGTCACAGCCCCCCCTTGTGGGCACCCCTGACTAAGCTCTCTTTGAATGAATACCGGCTACAGCTGAACGTCTCCTCAGTATTCAACGACGATGGTAGGCTGAATTTAGACCATCGGTTTCAATATAGGAACCGGCGAGCTGTCCGCTTACACTTCCGCCTCGACTGAACCGGGATGTGCGAAACGGTGACAAGTTCTGGAAGATTTTATGCAACCCCCTCCTCCCTCCATCAACTGTACAAACCGGCCTGGCAGACACACTGACCCAAAGAGCAGTGGAGGGGAGTGACTGAGCGGCAATGGCAATACAGCATCAGACAAACCACTTGACTCCTCCGTCCTCCGACAGACGCTACAATGTTGCATTTATTTAGCATCTGCGGCTGAGATGAATCGGTGTTGTCTCACTGGCGAATACAACAAATATTGTACTGAATTATTAGATTTGTAGCTAGTTAGACGTTACGATGGTTAAATGTTGAACAAGGACATTCATAGGGTTTCAATATTTACGTAAAGAAATCAAGAATCTGTATTGCCGTTGATCCATGTATTACAGACATTAGCATAGTCAACAACTGATTCTAATAAATACAAACTTCTAATTATTTAACATTAAATATACAGAGGTGAACTATGATATCAATAACAGGCAATAACATAAAATTAAATCTTAAAGTTAGTTATCAGAGGACATAATACAAGTTCGCCTATTGTAAGAAATTGATTGGAACAAGCC